ATGGTGCATCATGCAAAGGTATTTTAACCCTTGCATAACCCATGTTTGCTGGGTCCACATGGTGCAACAATCCCCAGTTTCAAAATGGCAGCCATATTCAGAACAGCAGTGATGCATGTCCTGCAGCTACACTATAGGTTATACAACCCATGCTGAACTGTTGTATTATGTGAAGAGCCCCCAGTTCCAGAGCAGCTCCTTCTTCCTATTCTTGCAGAGGCAAAGAGGGAGCGTCTCCAGAAGAAGCCATCTTAGCATGGCTCTTATCTTACCCATTAAAAAAAGAGGTACATGCAGAGCCTTCCAGAGCCTTGAAACATGCATAGCTTTACCCTAGGATAGAAAGTCCATTTTGACACCTTTGAGGACTTGATGCAATTTTTCTAGCTATATGGCTGGGAGTGGAAGCACAGCCATAACCTGCTGAGGAAAGAATAACTAAGCCTCCTCGCCTTGTGCATTATATTCTAGTAAGAGCCCGCCAATCAAGAGAAAGCAAAATGTGTAGCTGCATAGAACATCCAGCTTGGCCACTGAGCAATCCTGCTGTCCTATTAACAGTCACTTTTTCTTTGTATTAAAGCCAGGAGTCTCAGCTGAATTCTTTCCTTGATACAAGATGCTGGGCTTTTCTTGATTTGTGTAAATATACATTCCCCAATATTTAATACAGTTTGTCCAGCTGATTCCTTTTCTTCATTTTCCTTATCTCTTCTTCTCCATAGTTTTGGGCCTCTTCTTCTGTGTCCTGTTAGTTGCTGTAGAAATGTCAGACACATTTTGTGCATGATGCTGTGCTGAAATACCACTTCATGACTGACTTAAACAGAATCTTTCATTGAAAAAATGTACCAGGCAATTCACTCAACTCCACAATTCAGCACTTGAGATCTGAATAGTATATTGGTGATGGTATTCATTTTGATGATAACCACATTGCAGTCAGGTCCCTGGCAGAAAATGGAAGAACCAGTTCAATTATTTAAAATAATATATATTATATTATTATAATTCAATTATATTATTTTAAATAATTGAACAGTTATTGAATAGTTGATTTGAATTAGCAATATTTGGCTTGTTGTGCTATCTTTTCTGTAGAAAATAGCCTATTGTGAGGTCACTTTGTAGACCGCACCAGATTCTGCTTTTTCTTATGAAAAGAATAGTGTAATATGTTAAAAAGGGAGGGTGAGTTTGCCATGTCTGTGCTATAACAGGCAGTGGTGTGATCTGTTATAGAATTTCTGCACTCTAATTGGGTCAAAAGAAGTTATCACTCATGCATGTAGCCAACACAGCCACATTTGCCAATACACTCGCTAACCCAGCTTCTGGATATTGAAGACATTGATGACTAAATCAATACCCCAGGGGAAATTAAGCACATCAAGCAGTAAAGGAAATACTGAACTGCTTTCAGAAAGATTTTTAAAGCATGTTTTATAATGCTGAAAGCTTTGATCATGATTCTCTTCAGTAAAATCTGTTTACCATTGGTGTACTTAGAACCAGTGTGGTGTCAGAGAACCTGTGTGGTGGTGATTAGAATGGTAGACTTGGGACATGAGAAATCTGGTTTCTAATCCGCACTCACCATGAACCTCAGCCCAACCAGCCTCACAAGGTTGTGAGAATGAAAACTGAGTGAAGGAAAACTAAAACCCCTTGGGTTTCTTATAAGAATGAAAAGGTAGGCTATAAATACAATGTAATAATAATAAACTCTCATTCTTTCCTCATACAGGAATTGAATGGTATCAATAAAGGAAAGAGTACTTTTAACCATGTGCAGGGTTCTGTGAACTTCCTACTGAGATTATCTATTATCTGCACATTGTTAATATTGGTAATGGCTTCCATATGAGAGGACATGAACCTGACTTCCAGTGAATTTGAGCTGTGCTTCCTCTTAGCTAAAAATTTACACTGTCCACATAGCATTATTCCTTGATTTCTTTAAGAGAAAGAGATACAGTGCCATACCAGAAATAATAAATACATCAAAGTTGTTAAACACATGATCCTGGTAGCATTTGGGGCTTAATTTTAAGCAAGAGTCCAGCAGACTTTAGGGTCTATCCCATTCTTAGTCCAGGTCACAGAGAAGGCCTTCCCCATGTCCCAACCACCTGTTCCTTTATCACCATCAGGACATGAAGAACCTCTGGCAGATCTTGGGGGGGCCACAGTGTTCCCTTAAACTATGCATCCAGGCAGTTCTATAATAACACAGTCCAGCTACGTTGTAACTCTCCTGCCAACATAAATAACATCTTAGAGGGGGCATATCTGCAGTCAGATTTTGGCTTATTTTTGTGGATACCAAAAAGCCAGTTTCCAAAACAGCTACCTTCTAATTACATTATTCTGCCACTGGTTCCCCTCCCATGACATATAGTTAAAATTGTTACTAGATGTCTTAGTGGGGTACACTTACCAATCCCATAATGTGGATCATTTTACTCCTAACATCTTGTTCCTTTTTACTAGTTTCTTCATGTGATGACATATGTTCTAAATTTTGTGCTAATCCCTGTCTCTTGCTGAATAAATTAACCTGAAATGTTAATTTCTGGAACAAAGACCTGGTTTAAAGAACATTAGGCTTTAAAGGAGGAAATGTATAGGATAAGTAGTGTTTAAAATCTAGCTACAAGCCCTTCTCTCCCTTTTCTTCCCTCTTCTGTCCCTGTACTCTATTCCCAGTGGTTTTATATGGAAAAATATAATGAAATGGTTTTATGATATGAAAGAAGTATGCCAAGGAGAGAGGGGAACATAATATTGTCCACTGACAGTGAAACTGATCAGTATTAAGGGATAAAGTGTGATGGCTAGGTTTGTGTGTGCTAATTGATTTACTGCTGATTATGGGCAAGTATACTGTGCTGTAGTTCTTTTTAACTTTGCAGATGCAAACATAATGTTGGCAAACGTATAGGGCGTTCTGTTATCCACATGTGTGTTTTGTGTTGCAGGTAATAGTGAATCTCTTTTGGATGAAACATGTGTGGATGTGTTTAGAAGTATCTCCACTGAACTCAGGAGGCTTTACTTCCATGTAGTAGTGCATAGGATCTTAATTACCTTTTTGTTGAACAGTACCTTGGCAAAAGGGTCTGAGGGAGAGAGTATCAGGGCTACCATGTCAGAAGGGCAAATGCTAGCTAAACATTTTGATCCAGGTTTCTAACAGATTATGCCCCTAGAAATGTCATGAATTATATGGTTAAACACAAGGGTAGCCATCCTTGGCATACAACCTTGCTTATTTTACTATAGTTTTAGGAATCACTGGTAAATTATTTGTGCATATCTTCAGTCCCTGCTGAATTCATGGAAATTGTGCAATAGCAGGTAGAGTGACCCTTCTTTTTATAGCCTCATTCATACTGAAATGCAACTACTATTATAACTGCAGCTTTTTATTTATTGTACTATAAGTTTAAACATTTCACCATGGAGCAATCATATATGGGGGAAAAGGTATAATAAAGCTTTAACAAAGAAACTTCAGGGTAGAACTGTTGATAGCCATTCTGTGTTTATTCTGTATCTGCCACTCCAGGCAGATAAAGTAGAATAACCATGTTTTTAAAAATATGACTGGCAGGTATGGGGGAGCCTGAGAACTACTGGATATGCAGGGGACCTCTTTCCCTCCATGATGGTTCCAACTAAAGTAGCCCCTCTGCCCTCCAAAGCCACTGTTTGCATCTCGAGGAATATTTTAGTTGGCATTAATAGCAAGGGAGGTTTGTGGGGGTGCTTTGTCAGGACCACAGTGTTCTGGAAGGGGTAAATTAGCCTCTCTCACCTCTTACAGTCATGATGCTGTCTTAAATAAGGTGTTATTTATATATTTAAAATTGTGAGTGTTAACTGTATTCATCCAATTAAGGTCATATCTAGCACGGCCCTGAGAATAGAAAATTGTAGCTGAAGTGGTTCTCACATGCTTGAGTGGGCACAGAAGCAACATAATCAGACATAATCATGAAAGAAGGGCCCATACAGTAAATATCAGTTCATTATAGGCCACTGGTGTGTCTGAAACTACTGATTGTACATTGGAATTGGCTTTCTTGCACCAGTTCTTGGTGCCATAGCAGTCTTCTAAACTGGATTGTCCTGTTGGCCTTGGAAAATTATGTCCAGTAAGTGTGGGCACATGGACTGCATATAATAGGTAAAAAATTAATTATTTCCACCCCAGTGCTACTTTGTTCATAAATCTTGCCAGATGTTTCAGAAGCTGTATTCCTTTGTATCTCAAGCAGTAGAACTAAATTTTGATGAAACAGCAGAGCCTGATTGAGAAGCACAAAGTATCAGCCTAATTCTGCCTCTTTATCAGGGTCTTTTTCTAGTTGACTGCTATCGCTGCCTCTCTGTTCTGATTTTACTTGGCTTTAGGTAGTTGTTAGTTTGACTTTCTGATTTTGGCAGTCACTTGACACTTGAATTGATAGCCATTGCCTGGGTTCTGTAAGCTTTGATGCACTTTTAACTTGTGAATGCTGGTGCCACACTGTGAACCAGTGTTCCTCAACCCTGGAGCCTTCCAGATATGTTGGACTACATGCTGACTGGGCATGATGGGAGTTGTATCCCAACATATTTGGAAGGTTGGCAAAGGCTCTCATCAACAAAATATAACCTAGCATCCTAGTTCATAGTATTAAATAGGAATCTCTTCTTATGTATACATGTGAATGGTTTAAAACAAAAAGTGCCATGCAAATCAAGAGAACAAAAATCTACTTGAGTATATTTAAAGGTCAGTATGCATTAATTGTTGTTCTTTCCAGCAATATTTCTCATATTACAGATTTCTAATGATCATAAACAGTCACATAACTATGTGAAAAAATATAAATTTGTAGCACTATGTACCTGCAGCAGATAGTAAGCCTGGTTGCTGTCTTCTATAACTAATAATTCATTATCTCAACTTTTTGCATTATGATTACTATATTTGTATTTTCTTGTTTTAGGGGCAGCTTATTGCCAGTTCATGGATATGTTGTTTCCAGGATGTATTAGCTTGAAAAAAGTAAAATTTCAAGCAAAGCTGGAGCATGAATACATCCATAATTTCAAACTTCTACAAGCATCATTTAAAAGAATGAATGTGGATAAGGTAAATATGGACCATTTTAGAATAAAAATTTGGTACAACTTGAAGCTACATTTCACAAACATATTTTCTTGTTCAAAATGCTTCATTTTTTTAAAGCCATTTTATCCTCCCTATCAGTACTTGTGCTGAGTGGCTATCACATTAGGTTAACATTTAACTCCACACAACAGACCAACCTTGCATTTTTAACCTACACCCAGAAGTACCTCTAGTTGCATTATGAATTAAGTGTCCCTGAACAGTAACATCAGAGAATGAACACCATCACTATTAGATGCTAGATATTTGGAATATAGTTCTAGGGTGATGGCCTTAAGATCTTGCCCCCTTTAATGGAGCAGTCCTAAATGCCATCTGGGAAGGTGGAGAGCAGCAGAACCAACACCTTATTTAGAGCCCTGCTGGATCTTATTGGTGGAGCATACGGAAAGAAGTTTCATAGTTCAGGCTCCCCAAAGAAAGCCACTGAGAAGGCCCGTCTTCTATTTACCATTCCCTTTATATCCTTAAGGGACAGCTGTTTCAGAAGGATCTCCTGACCAAATCTTAATAGGCAGGTAAGTATATATGGGAACAGATGGTCCTTTAGGTAGCCAGATCCTAAGCCATTCAGGGCTTTATAAGTCAAAACGAGCACCTCAGCCCAAACCTCGTGATGATCTCTCTCAGCAGTTTCATGTAAATGTTAAACAGAATGAGGGATAGTATAGAGCATTGCAGAATCCCATGGTGTAACCATTACGAGACAGAACAACTATCCCTCAGCACCACCTTCTGGACATGATCAACCAGGTAGGAACGGAACCATTGCAAGGCACTGTCCCCAACTCCCATCCTGACCAAACTCTTTGGAAGGACACCATGGTCGATGTTATTGAAAGCCACTGAGAAGTTCAGGAGAATCAGCATGGTCAGACTCCCCCCGTCTCTCTCATCCTACAGGGCAACCAAGGCAGTCTCTGTCCCAAGCCTGAAACCTGATTGAAAAGGATCTAAATTTTCTGCCTAAACATACACAGGGTTGCTCCTTAAATCATTTATCTAACTTCCTATGTTGAATACAGGTGATTCCAGTGGAGAAGTTAGTAAAGGGGCGCTTCCAAGACAACCTGGATTTCATACAGTGGTTTAAGAAATTCTTTGATGCCAACTATGATGGAAAAGAGTATGATCCAGTGGAGGCTCGGCAAGGCCAAGATGCTATTCCACCACCTGATCCTGGAGAACAAATCTTTAATTTGCCCAAAAAATCACATCATGCAAACTCCCCTACAGCAGGTGAGCCATTATTGACCTTTACTACAGAATGTTCTTCTACAGTAGTAATTTTTGAGTAGTACATTGCCAGTGCAATCACCTTCCTATCAGAATTGCCTGAAATATGGGGTCTTTTTATACTTATCATTCACAGTGTTCTGTCATGGCTGCAGTCCTTTACCTGCTTATATGAGAGTAAAACCAATTGAAGTCATTGTGATGTACTTTTGAATAGTCTTGCTGTAAATGTTTTAAAACTAACACAAGTATGTGTGTACAATGATATCCCCTAGTAATCTATAAAGTCTCAGGTTCTAACAATGCATGAAAGGACATGTAGATAGATTTCTTTCATTGGCAACTGCAGTAAATCCATCCTGCTGCTGCTGCTCTTCAGAATATTTCACTTTCAATACACTCCTTCCCTTCACACACAACTAGTTGTGGGCTGTACCTAGCATTTCTGAATATACCATTCTGCTTCTGGTGTATATAGTAGTAGGCATGCTGTTGTGGAGGACATACTTGTTTAATCACCAAGGCATGTCCTCTCTTCACAACCCCATGGACAACATTCCTCCAGACTCTCCTGTCTTCCACCGTCCCCTGGAGTCCACCAAAGCCCACACCCACTGCCCCAGTGACCCCATCTAGCCATCTCAGCCTATGCTGTCCCCTCTCCTTTTGCCTTCAATCATTCTCGGCTTCTCCAGTGACTCCCTCCTTCTCATTATGTGGCTAAATTATTTGAGTTTCATCTTCAGTATCTGACTTTCTAAAGAGCAGTTATAAAGTCGTCTCTTGGGTTGTTGGAAAACAGTGTTTGCTATGACTTCTTGACAAAATTCTGCTAGCCTTTTCCCTGCCTCATTTTGTACATGCCTGTTGCTACAATTTTCTTTTGGCTTTCTACTTTAGCATTCCAGTTCCCCATGATGATAAGTACATCATTTTTGGAGTTATTTCTAGAAGGTGTTGTAGGTCTTCATAGAACTGGTCACTTCAGTCTCTTCAGCATTAGTGGTTGTGTTATGTGGCTACTGTGATATTGAATAGTTTTCCTTGGATTCAAAGTGTGAATTATACTTTGCATCAATTTGGGGCTCTGATGCCACAGTTAACAGGATTCTGCCATGATGGTAGTGTGTCTGTTTTATTTCTCACTTGTTTGCTCTTTATTTCCAAAAATGACAAAATACAACCTTAAAAATGAAGGATTTTTAAAGAGAATAGTCTGTTTAAAATGATGTAAATATTTTGCCCTACCTTTAGTCCTTTTTTAGACCTACTAGGGTACTAAATCATTGGTAATAAATCCCACAGAGCCCTTCTGTACTTAAGAGCAAATTCTTAGCTACTGTTCTTGTAGAAAGGCATAGGCGATATTAAGGAATGGGATGAGTGGTTTTCTCTTATTTCTTTTTCAAGTTCATTTTTACAGGAAACTGCTGGCATAATCTAGTTTTATGGTGATTGGAATGTTTCCAAATCCTAAGTGCTGGCCTAAGAGTAAGAAGTAAATCAATCTCAATCTCTCTCTCTCTCTCGCTCTCGCTCGCTCTCGCTCTCTCTCGCTCTCTGAAGGTTTTAAAACATACTAATATATTCCAGTAAAAAATACTAGTATGTGCCATTAGATTTACAATGGTGGTATAGTGGCAGCGACTAGGAAAGCCAGAAAAATAACAAAAGGTGTCAGCCCCAAGAAGTACTTTATTTTGGCAATAGTTAAGTAAGCAGGTAGTTTTGTACTTGCTTAAGGTGTGGCCTGGCAAGCATACACATTATGAATTTGTTACTTGCTAGAGTGCCAGTTTTCCTTTAAATGTTATTTCAAGTTCCTAGATTAGCCTTCTCCAATTTGCTTTCTTCCAGGTATGGTAGATTACAACCCACAAGTCATACTGGGTGGGGCTAATGGGAGTTGTAATTCTATATATCTGAAGGACACCAAGTTGAATAAGTCTGATCTAAGAATTCTGAAATTATAATTCAGCACGATATGACGTTATCAGCTTCCAATTATAGAATGATTTAATGGACATGTCCAATGGAGTAATAACATGAACAGGAGGTGCCTATGTTCAGGCAAAGGGGCTCTAGTTTATTCCACTTTCCCGCTTCTCTTTGCAATCTTCCCCATGTCATGTGCTATAATGTACCAAATTCTTAGCGGTGGTTCCTTGGAGACACTGAAGCCTCAAGTATGAAGAGGGATTAGGAAAAGTTTGGAGCCTTTGCTGTTAGGAAAGGATTGCTCTTTGGAAACTTGCTGTTTGGATCCAGGTCAAAAATTGTTTCACCTACTTTTGGCTTCAACTGTCAGCAGAGTCCTAAAGTCATACTCTGCTGTAGAACATGTTCTGTTTGGACTAAAGTGACAGGAAGGGTCTGAACATGAAAACAGTCTATCTTGGGAGAGTGGCCATTTCTATGAGACTTCGATAGCTTTCATTGGATCCCTAAACTAATGATGATCAGCTTTTAATAATGGAGCAAAAGAAAAACAAAGAAATGGAAGAAAGTGCAATGGGGAGAAAGTGCAGGCAAGGGCTATGTAATCCAAACAAGAAAGCCCATCAGTGCTTGCTATTACTCATGCAAGGGCATGAAATAGCAAAACAAATATTCCTTCATGTGCTGATAGTTGTGGAGGGAAAGGGAGTTATTTCACTTCTTGGTCTGAACCCTACCTTGTGCCTTTGCTTTCTCTGGAAGGAGAATTGGAGCAGTGGATGGTCCAATTTTAGAGGGCCCTTGGGCAAGACATCCTCAGTAGCTTACTCCCTAAGTAAGTCTGTCTCCTTGGCTTAGTTGTTATGCTGCTGTTCCTCCTTCTACTTGCTACCACCTGCTTGCTTTCCAGCCAAAGAGTCAGTGCACAAATAACAGCATCTATTATTCCAACTTCAGGTTGCAATGGTGAAGGAGAGGAGCAAGTCCAGAGGGCTCTTGTCAATATGCTCCCAGCTGGGTGTGGGCCCTCAGGAGGTGTCTGATCATGCCAACATTGATGCTGGTCTTATCTTGCACCTCCATGCCTTTTTAGTCTCTGCTGTTCAGCAGTCTTCCATTTAAACCTTCCCACCTACAGGGCAAACAGAACAGGAGGAGGAGGAGGAGGAGGAAGGGATGATAACAGTGACAATGGCAATGATTTTGTTGCATGTATATCCCACTTCTTCCCCTTCTCTTGTGAGAAACCCTTTCATTTTATCCTATCCTGTGAGGTAGGTTGGACTGAGAATAAGTGATGGGTCCAAAGTCAGCCAGTGAGCTTCATGACTAAGTGGGGACTAGGACTAGGCTCGCCCAGGTCTCCAGTCCTACATTTGAACCACCAAATTACACTGGCTTTCTAAAATGCCCTTTTAATTCTCCCACATATCTTGACTGACTTCTCCTGCTCTCTGTACCTGCTGCAGCTAGCTGTCATTCTGAGTTCAGCTATCAATATTAGAAGTCTCTGAGAGCAGTTAGTTTCAGGCAGCTTGAAGTAAATTTGAAGGCAAGGGGCATTTAGCATGAAGTGATACCCCATTAAACACATTGCTTTCCATTAACCAGTGATGCAGTGGCAAATTGCACTCATGGCAGTTCTCATAGCACTGCTCCCAGAGGGGACCAAAAAGCAGGCAGCTCTTAAAATTTTCATCACCATCAGGAGTGGGTCTTTTGTAAAGCTACAGGCCCTTAAAGACCAGGCTGTCATGAGCTGCTTCCTCCCTTTTTCTTTTGGGTTATCAAACTCAAGACAATCCCTTGAAGTGCAACTATTTTATTGAAATTTAACAGATAACAGAACAGTATGAACTTTAAATAGCCTTCTACCAGAGTTGAGGGAGAAGTATCTGCCCATGTAAAAAGTTGAATCCAAACTGGCAGTGTTCCCTTTGTCCCTCCCTTTCAGTAAAGCTTCTGACTCCCCTCTCAGGTTTGTTCTTGCTTCTAAGAACCTTCAGCTAAGAACAGGTAAGAACCTTCAGAAGGTGACTTTGAAACTTCAAAGTCCTCTCCCCACCCCTCCCTCCTCCATCTCCTCAGAATCCGAAGACAAATCTATCAGTCTGTAATGAGCAAGGGATGGGCTCCCTCTCTATAAGCCCACCTGATAATATTTTGCATTAAAACAGGATTAACACAAAACTATATATTGATATTCGGAAATTCATTCTAACTCCTAATATGGTGTGAGGTTTACAATTAACTCAAGGAAAACTGGATTTCTACGGGGTAACAGAGGACACTAGTGTCCCTGCTATTTAAAAAAAAAAAAGTCAGTACATCATCCCTGTGAGCTGTGCTTCCACAACACCCCATAACTTATTTGAAGTTATGATTAATCATTTGGTAACATTGCACCTGTTTGAAGTATACACAGATTTTATTTAGCATGATTCTTTGCAAGCTGCTGTTTAGTTGTTAATAATTGTGGAACAGTTTCCCAAGAGAGGAATGCTTTGTCTCTTTGCTGCTTGTTTTTTGAAGTCCAATATATTCCAGAATATCTTTTGGGGATACTATTTTTAACTGGAATGCAACCATGACTGCTACTGCTTTAAATAAATTTGGCTGAAATTGTAGTTATAACTGATATTTTACTGTGTTTATGTCTCTTTGGATTTTGAGCTGCCTTGATTTTGTGAAATATAAGAGGAATGGAAATAAATGCAATAGGGATAAATGAATAAATTGTTGAAAGTGCATTTGAGAAGGTCAAATAATCTTGGTTACAGTATTTGGTTTTAATTCTGTGTTAAGGCATTCCAAATAGTCTTGTACATACTCTCAGCTAAACACCACATCCATGTCCTGGGACACCCTATAATTCTTTGTGTGTGTGTGTGAGTGTGGTGTGTGTGTGTACACAATAAGCTGATTTGGCTGTGACCTTTCTGTTAGTATGTCAGTGGTGTTACTAAAGCTAAATCCTGGTTGAGTAAGGAATAAAGAATGGCCTTTTTAGATAATGATAACTCCAGGATTACATGTGTCAGACTATATATACTTTTAAAAGCAGATTTGAGAAAGCAATGTTTGCTTAATATTGCCATCTACAAGGTAAGCAATTATTAATTTTATGGTAGCTTCTTTTAAGAAACTTTGTCATTTGTATGGGCCAGTTATGAAGGATGCACATTTGTTTGAACACAGGTTCTCCTCTTAAAGGCAACACTCCAATCCCTTTCAGTTTATTATTGCTATTATAAAGTAATATTTGAAGAACAGGACTAGTTGGGCTTTTGGAATAATCCAGCAAATATCTCTTTGCAGGCAAACAAATTAACCCACAAATTTCCACCAGACATCTGTGCATGACCGTAGTTAAAACATAGTGCAGGGTTCACATGCAACAACTACCCATGAATCAATAATAGCCCATGATTCAACTCACAGGGCTTGTTCACATGTAATGACAAACTTGTATATGGGATGTTACTGGAATGTAGGTTGTTGCTAAAACCTGGGTTGCTGTTAAGTACATATCCTGCACTATGGTTTGAGTATGGGTTGTTCACCATGAAGAAGTCAGAGTTCGCAACCCAACAATAAATGATATTCCTCTTCTTGGGTTTTTATGGTCAATAACCCATAGTTAAACAATAGTGCAGGGTTTGTACATAAAAACCTGATTCAGCAACAAACCAGTGACAACCTGTATTCAGCCTATAGTCTGAGTTGTCACTATGCAGAAACCACACCAATGTCTTTCTATTTAACTTTTATTACAGATTTGTAAGGTATATATTTAATACATTTGACTTGGACACTGGGGCAACTCAGCTGTTCAGGGAAACACATGTTGCAGCATCATTCCTGTGTTTCAACTGCCGGAAGCTTTCTGTGCATGAAAAAAACTAACTCTTAAACCTTGATATTTTACTCAGTGGGAGGGTGGAAATGGGTTTGGGGAATTTATGTCTGTCTCCTTTTCATACGGATTACACTTACATGAAAGATAAAGGGATGATTGACAAGGAGTGTGGATATGTAGTAACTATAATATGGACTTCTATTTTTGTTCATTGCCAGTAGAAAGTGGTGGAGGTGGGAGAATACTGGGTAAGATTTAAAATGGCCCAGTGCTGGGGCTTTTGTGCAGTCCATAGAGCATTACCATTTCCCATCCTATGACGATAGCTGAATGGAATAAATTTTTCCAAAATAAGAATAGCTCTTTGTTTTGAAAATGTATTGCTATGTGATTGTGTGTCTATGGTGTAGACCATACAACAAAGCCATCCAGTTTCTCACAGACTGGCTTGAAGCATATTAGAAGCATTAACTTTTCACAGAAATTCTCTTATCCCTAAGGGGCAATTGTTGTGACAAGTCATTACGGGTCAAGGATAATGCAGCTTAGAAATTGTAGCATAAATAGTTCCTTAGGACTAATCTGTTCAATCTGATGTAGCTTGGATAGCAGAATTAACTTGCTACAAAAGTGCTGGCTTGTGACTGATAATGGCTAATTTTTATCACTCCCAGAACTGCAGACCCCAATGAAAATTGAGATATAACTCATAAGCAAGAGATGTATTTTAATTTTTATATCTTTTTAAATTGCTAGAAACATTTTGCAAGGGAAATTGAGATCACCTATATAGCTATATTCATAGGAGCTGGATACAGTCATTTCAACTGACCAGCATCAAATGCCAAACCATGTTTACATCTCCCTGTATTAGTTAGTGGCTGGTGAAAAAACGAACAAAGGACCTGGCTTCTGCTCACAGTTTGTAGATAAATGTGACGGAGCATATATTTGAACACCCGTAATGTGGGTCAATTTTATTTCTTTTTTGTGCTGCAAAGTGCATTATATTAAAAAATTCCTGTTTTTTCTTAGAGCTTTATAAGGAATGTTCCTTCTTGGTCAGTTTGCCAGCAAGGGCCACAAATAACCACCAAGGGCTGTCTAGTTCTGTATTAGTTTCCCCCAAAAGCTACCAGATGCCTTTGAGAAGGAGGGCATATGAAGGCAATTACCCCCTTCCATTGTGGTGGTTATTCTGGGTTACTGTAGGTGAAAAATGTTTATGTAAATCCCTCTTCCATTTATCTTGATTATATCCATGGCTGCTGGAGTGCTACTGCATAGTTGCCAATTATAAAATGATCATGGAAAATGTACCGGGGCACTTGCTTATATATTATAAACTAGTACTTGAAGTTTTAGTGCATGCACCCTCTCTAGCCAATATTTCTCTTGTGGTTGTGATTTTTGGTGGTGCTGGTGGTTTTTGTTTGCTTGTCCAGAAGGTCAATCTGGACAAGACCAGGATGCTGTGAATGGGTGAATCTTTGACTCTTCTGGTGGAGAATGTGCATGTGTTCTGAATAGGGTGCATGGCCCTTGAAGGAGTAGCTTCATAGCCCTAGGAATTGCCTGTTATTTCAGGCTGAAACACAGCAGTCAGACTAACAACCAGAACCAGAAGGTTTAAATGTACAAGTCCAATTCTGTTTCCTATCCCAGCTGAGGCCTGCTTGAGAGCACAGTACCTGATGAAATGCCTCTGTTGACCTGAATTTATCTGAATGCTATGATCAATATCTGAGGCCTGACTCAAGTGCCATCTTTGAGGGAGGCTTGGAGGGAACAACAGAAAAAGATATAAATAAACAGAGAAATAAAATATAAATGTAGCTAAGTCCCACTGATTCAGTTTAAATTTGTGAATGAATAAATAATGGCGACTGCAAGCCTCAATATTTGTATTGATTTAACAGGCTGCAAATTTGAGAATCCCAGTTCTATTCCATTGCTAGTGCTCAGACTTTCAAATCAGCAAATACATTAAATATGATCAAATACTTTATAGTTTGATTTTATATTCTGCTGCTTGAACAATTGGCTTTAGACCAGTTGCACCAAGGCCAGTAGCAAACTGATTCTTCAATTAGGTTTTAATAGAAATATTTTTTCATATCTTCCTCCAGTTCATTTGCAGTTGGCATTCTCAACAGATTCTACCACATTACATCTTTAAAAATGCATGAAGTTGCAATTATACATTCATTCATTAGCATCTAATAAAAAGGATTGAAAAAAGAGAGAAAGAGAAAACTAATCTTTCTTATAGATATACTTTCAGCTACCAGGTTTGTTGTTTTGTTTTTCTCCCACACTTAATTATGTTAGTTTATTCATTCCTTGTTTAGAAAGTTACTTCTGCTTCCACAGTGCTTCTCTTTTGTTTCAGCAGATCCAGATCATACAAGATCTGTACAGGAGATAGGTAGATACATGGAAATAGGCTTCCCAATTTAGCTAAAAGCATTTTTTCCCCCCATGATGGATTTACGAAGTGGGCTGGATGAACTCTAGATCTCAGGGCCCTGAAAAAGGGTTCTGTTCCTGAATATTGAGAACAGCCATCATGAACCTGGTACAATCTGGTTGTTTTGGACTACAACTCTCATCAGCCCCAGCCAACATGACCAGTGCCCAAGGATTATAGGAGTTGTAGTTCAGAATATCTGCACAATATCACCTTGGGAAACGCTAATCTACTTCATAAAGATCTGATCTGGCCAAATTTCAGAGAAATACAATTGAAAAGCTTAAGTTACAAAAGCAGGAGGGAAGGAGGAAGGTATATTTTATATGGAGGGAGAAAAAGTCAATATGGAAAGCAAATATTGATAAAATTCCTTTTGACGTTTTATGCTGTTGTGACATGGCCCATAGCTTTTCCCTCCCTCTCTCCCTCTGCCTGCCTGCCTGCCTACCTTTCTTTCTCACCCCCCCACCCCCAACCTCAACCTCTGGAAACAGCAAGAGAGGAAGCTGTGTCCCCAAACAAAAATTTAAATTGCTTTAAAGCTCACTTTATTATGCCCAGTATGTTTAAGAAAGGACTTGCCTTCCTTGGGGGGCTGCATCTTTTCAATGCTTCCCCACTTTTAAAATGGTAATTTTGCGGTGTGGGCAATCTGTTGAATTTTAAAGAGAGGATAGTAACTTGTTAGCAGCCTTATAATTCAGTCAAATTTTAATTTAGATCTTAAGAGAGGCACTGTGATGTAGTGGTTAAGAGTATGGGACTGGGATGCAGAAGATCTGGGTTCTAGTCCCCACTCAGCCATGTTGCTCACTGGGTGACTTGGGGCCAGTCACAGACTTTAAGCCTAACCTACGTCATAGGGTGGCTGTTGTGAAGGTAAGAATGAGAGGAGCAGAGTTATGTAGGCCATCTTGAGTTCCTTGGAAGGAATAAAGTGGAATATAAATATAAGATAAATATGTAATAAAATATAATAAATATTTTGTTGATATTCAATGGATGGGATTTCTTTACACTTTCCCTGCCTAAGTCCAGTTTTTCAGGAGAAGATAAAAATTTACCTAAATAACTTAGGAGGTTTTCATCTGATCTTTTATCCCCTATTGTCAGTCTGTGGTTTGGCTCACTTGCACAAGGCAGCTGGAACTTAGTAGCACTTTTTAGATTCAGGAATCTTGTTTGTATGTGAAATCTTTTTCACAGCAATTTAGTCTTCAGCAATGGCTTGAAACTTAATGGCAGCAAATTCATTTCAGGATTGATATATTGCAAAGAATAATCTTCACTTTTTAATTGTATATGGAAGTATTTTCTCAGAAGTAAGCCTCACTGTGTTCACTCGGGTATGCTCCCTAGAACATGTGTATGTAATTGCAGCCTCAGAAAGTTTTGATCTGCTGAATCATCTGTATGGATTCAAAAGTGACACGAAGTAATCATTTTGCTTCTTTATTCTTTTGGGTGGTTAAGCTACATCTTCTAGAAACTGCACAGCTAGAAAACATGGTTACATCCTTGTAAACTTGGGTGATTTTAATGTGAATATTAAACTTTTTCTGTTTCAATATGAGTAAACAATTTAAAGTATTTACCCAGCAAACAGACCAACTACTCTTTCAAAACCCTTTCTAATATACCTTTTTCAGGTGCTGCCAAATCCAGTCCAGCTTCAAAACCAGGCTCAACACCATCTCGCCCATCATCAGCAAAAAAAACACCTCCAAGCAGCTCAGCATCTAAGTCTGATAAAGATTTGGAGACACAGGTCATACAGCTCAGTGAACAGGTAACATGCTTAAGCTACCAGATGGGAAACTGCTCTTTGTCCTGAGGGCTTCAGTAAAATCTGTTCAGATGCTGAACAGGCAATGATGGCAAAGTGTGTTTTCTGATTTACTGGTAGTTTTATCAAGCTGCCTTGGCACATGCATCATGCAACATGGCAAGTGTCCCAGAATGATCAATTTCTAGCCCAGAAGGAGTTGTTTTGATGTAGGCTCCAGTTCTCGGGGTTCTTCGTCGTGGCCTCTGTGCATCACACATATGGGTGCGGGTTGCTGCGCCTGCGCAGTGCCTAGGCCGGAAGATTAGAAAGCTAACGGTTTTTGGCAGGAAAACTCCGCTCCCCTCCCCCTTTGTGGTATAAATAGAGTGGAGTGTCCGCCATTTTGCTCAGTCTTTGCGACTGCCGTTCGCTGTGCCTCGTGCCTGTTCGTCTCTCGCTATAGATCTGTGCCTCTTCGTTGTTTTTTCTCAAAAAGTTTAAACTTCTCTTACTCCAAGTTTGTTCTTCTCCCCAATTCTGTCCGTTTTCTTCTTGAATTCTATATATATATATATATATATATATATATATATATATATATAAAAATAAATAAAAATATCTTACCCTCTATACTGTCCTCTTTTCTTCATTTTTCCACGATGGCACAGCGGGCGGCATTCCGCAAATGTATTGAATGTGGATCTAAAATGTCGCCGGCCGATCCACATGATCTATGCCTCCTCTGCCTCGGCGAGGGGCATAGGACCGGCATGTGCGGTCATTGCTTGGCGTTTACCAAGCAGGTGCGGAAAAATAGGGAGAATCGTCTCAGAAAGCTCCTATGGGATCAGGCATTAATGCAGTCTGACCAACTGCTCCTACGGCCTGCTTCCTCTTCGTCCGCGCCTCCTCAGCGCTTCTCCTCCACCGTGAGCGCTCCAGCAAAGCATCCTTCCTCGACTTCTGCCGACCCTCCTCAGCGTCCTTCGGATGAGGGCACCGCTTCTATGGGGGCTCAGTCACTGCCTTCTCCCCCAACTAAGAAACGGGAGAAGCGCAAGCATACCAGCCTGGATAAAACTTCCACCCATAAGAAGTTGAGGAAGGAAAAGGTGGATAAGCCCGCTCGCAAGAGCAAGAAACCTGACTGCCCAAAACAACAAGGCTCAGGTTCATCGGGCTTTCGGGACCAACGGCCACCACGGTACCGACCCCCTTGGGACCGGCCCTGCAACTCGTTATGCAGGTGACACCACCGGGATCCCCCAGGCCAACCACTCGGCCTGAGAGAGTGCCTTCCCAGCAACAGGAGGAGCCACTTCGGGAGTCCATCTCTGATGGCGCCGAGGGAACACTCACCAACACCCATGCCACCGACTGAATCTCGTGGCCTCACCATTACCTCCTAGAGGTCGCAGCCGTTCATCTGAGCGTCGAGATGAAAGTTGGTTGATTCCAGGATATGGTGCTCCCCCCGGCTGGGGTGGGTACCAGTCATATCCCTATTTCCCTCGTGAGCAGAGATCACCATCGGTCCTGAGGGATGTGCCATCCACCTCCAGGCGTACGGAGACGAGGCGCCCAGCCTCCCCTGAAACCTCCTCCTCCTCAAACGACGACCAGCTGCACTATGTGGAAGACTCCAAGGACTTGGAGGTCGACTCCACATCCCCTGATGTGGCTGTCGCATATCAAGGGCCTGCTTCACCCGACGAACCTCATGTCTCGTTCACAGAGCTCATGTCCCGCTTGGTTCGTTCACTTGAAATCAAAGCCCATCAACAGCCAGGCCCTTCGACAGATCACTTCTATGACGTCGTTCGGAGAGAGCAGTCCGCATCCATAGCTCTGCCACTTATAACTACACTGCGCCAGGCTATGGTCCAACCCTGGGACCAACCGGCCCAACCACAAGCGACCTCCCGCAGATATGAGGCTATGTATAGAGTTCGGGACAATGACATTCCCTTCCTGCTCTGTCACCCAAAACCGAACTTTCTTGTGGTTGAATCCTCCCAGGGCAGGGAGTCCAGGGGACATACCACTCCTCAGGACAAGGAAGGGAGAAAAATCGATATGCTTGCGCACCGAGTCTATGCGGTCTCTGGACTCGGCGTGCGCATATCGAACTACGAAGCGACACTGGCAC